TTCGTCCAAAGTCAGTGTACCAAAACCCCTCCGGTGTCCAACCATACCGTAAAAACTCGGATATAAGAGACCCCTCCAGATTTGGTTAGCGGCACGTATAGGGAATTCGATGTCTCCAAAAGGAAATCGGTAAAAACAAAAACCCTCCTTGGTAAGCTTAAAAATTTCCCTATAAGGCAATTCTTTGCCGCTAACCAAATCTGGGGGTCTGTTATACCGTATTGACTCGGGTATAAGAGATGCCCCCCCATTTTGGGAATAGCGCCATTTCAGGGCACGCTAGGCCGTTTTGGGGATGATCTAAGCCACTTCGGGCACACTAAACCGTACACGCGCTGGCATGGCTTGGCACGACAACGTGCATATTGGGAGGCTTACGGTTTAGCGCGCCCCAAAACGGCTTAGCACGCCCCCAAAACAGCTTAGTGCACCCTGAAACGGCGCTATCCCCAAAATGGGGGGTGTCTCTTATACCCGAGTCAATACGGTATCCAGTTTTTACGGTACTTTCTGGCCATCTGCAATACTCGTGGCCGGTATTTAAAACCAAAAAGCAAATTTTAAGTGGCTGAAACTTACTCGAAGGAGAAATTATTGAGGCGCAAATCACCAGATTGGGAAAGCCTTCTAAATGCCTGGCACGAGTCCGGTAAGAGTTTTCGTCTTCCTTGTTTTAAGCTACAATTGCAGCTTAACTACAATTGCAGCTTAACTACAATTGCAGCTCTTGCGGTTCTACTCTCTTGCCATACGGATGGCTTCATCTGCCTTATGATTCGTTTACACTGGATCAAATGCGAGTTTAACTGCACAATGGTAGTGAAATGTTTTTCGAGCTCTCGGAGCGGGGTAAGTCGTTGGGGAAAGTTGTAGCCTTGAGGATCTGAGATGCGTCAGCGAGAAGGCTTGGGCGGGAAATGTTTCCGGGGCGTGCAAAAGAGGAAAGTGAGGATCACGATGGGAAGCTGTTCAAGAGTTCGTGCGCTGTACATGTTGTTGTTGACTGCGATTGATTGGCTTTTTACATAGACGAGGCAAATCATGGCTTGGACTGGCAGACGCGAGAACTTGCAAGTTGCAACGCGATACCACTTCGACAAACTGCCAACCCCCCTCCCCCGAACCGCGCCTTTGTCTCCATCTCCACCTCCCCCACAACCCTCTCCACGTCTCGCATTCCATTCTTCGCAACGCGACTTTCTCTTAAAAAAAGAAACACTTTCTCTCGTGTTTACAATTTACCCCTCCTCCACTGCCAATCCACCCAATCCCCCCCCCACCAATCCGTGTTTATCGCGTCCCTCGGTCGGTCACTCGCTCTTCAGTTCCGCGTCACCTTTGCCAACTCGCACCCCCCCCCCCCCACCGCGCATTCGCAAAACCACTTACACGCTACCAAATACGATATACCTGTTCATATTCGACTCGTGCATGCTCGTCGACAACGCCTACTTTATTTGACGGGAGCGGGGAAAGGAAATTCTCTATGGCTTCGGCTCTGGCACCAACACCCCCGGCAACGGACGGGGGAGCAGGCCAGGTACAGGCAACGCCGCCTGCTCCGTCCACAAACGCCAATTCTAGGCAGATGCGATGTGTGTTCTACCCAGAGGGGAGGTGTTGGAAAGTTTTGACTTGACGATTTTTTTTTTGGGTGCTGCAGTAAAAGTGTCGTACAGTTTTGATGAGGGAAACAAAAACAACTGCCTAGCGCGGTGGCCACACCTCATCAACACGCCCGTGGTCCAGGTCGATCGCGGCCTCCTGGTTGGCGCAGTCGAGTTCAAGACTTGCATACTGAGCATCATTGCGGGCAGGTACTATTCCTCCTTTTACGACTTTTTTTCTTGCTGCCTTGCTTGGATTGGTAGAAGGCTTACCGTCGCTTTGTGTGTTATTTTTTTTTGCGGAACACAGCCCCGAATTGGTAGCGAGACTTGGTCCAGACTACTCCGTCTACGCATACGACTACTCGGAACCGGATATTCCGCTCGTCGGATGCGGCATGCTTTCGTGGGCGATGCTCAACACCGAGAACTCTTCGGCGACACGCATGATGGTCACGGGTCGCGTCCTTTCGAACACGTTTGTGTTTTTGGGAAACAATGACGATGTGAGGGAAACGCTGGAGGTCAAGATCAAGCTCCAAAAAGTGGACACATTTACGCAGGAGCAGTTTGTGAGCTCAGTTCACACGTATCAGGCCCTGTCCCGGGCACTACCAGGCGCTTTCGATGCCGCAGAGTGGTCAAATTTCCTCAACTTGAATCCGAGAGCGCTCTCAACCGCTCTGGCTGCACCACTGCTCCCACCGCCGCCTGCGCCACAGCAGCCTCGTGCTACAGCACAGGCTCCTCACATCAGTGAACCCGCGCGGTTGGTGCCCACATTGGAATGGAAGGAAAGCAGCGCTTCGTCTTCGGAGGATGTTGTAGAACCTCCTAAGAAAAAACGAAAAGTACCAGCTAAGGGGCCAAAGAAGAAAGATGCGAGCAAATCTACTGCTGGTACTGTACCGGATCTGGAACAGTCCCAGATGTCGGATGCACCACTTCCCCGCAAAGTTACCAAGGCACCAAAGCGGCAGTCCGCACCTCCACCGCCTCAACCTCCACCCCGGCGCTCTCCCAGTAGGGAGTCTTCGGTAATGTCACAGCCCAGTCTTCCTAGGCAAACCAGGGTGGATAGTATCTCCTTCAACGCACCTTCTGAAATCTCACCGTCGCCTGGTCCTATAAATACCATGGATTCATCTCCACCGGCACAATCAGATGCGACCGATGCTGCTTGCATTCCGTCTCCTGCGCCAACCAGTCCAGTCCTGCCATCTCTACCACCGCCGAGGACTGAACCAAATAATGCACGGCTGGAGACCCTCTATGAGGAACCTGAGACGCCTAGGGTCAAACAGGAGCCACAACCTGATGCACTTCAATTACCCCAATTCTCTCAGTCTAGTAGCCTTATATTACCTCCGCAGCCACCGTCCCCAAAGACAAATAATTCATTCTCGTTACCGGATGGTGCAGCCCCATGTCCAGAGCCTTCACAATTTACCAAAGTACTACAGAAACCGCGGAAACGGACGAGAAAGAAGGATGCACTCGCGTCCGATGCTGTTGCCTCGAGTGAAATCGGGGAAGAAGTACCCGCGGGGAAGCGTGGAAAGGAACCAAAAGCGCCCAAGCAATCACGTACGGCTGCTCATGTGAAGGCACGGATTGAGATGCAACTAATCGAATCTATCAAACGAGGCGAAATGCCCTGCTACTGTCAAAATTGCGGTGCCATTGAAACTGCAGTTTGGCGTAAGGTAACCCCGCCCGAGTTCCAGGATGGGACGGGTATGGCGGGCGCTGTAGGCCAGCTCCACGGCAAAGAGATCAATCTCTGTAACGCTTGCGGCTTGTGGTTCAATACGCACAAAACCATGCGGCCACAACAGCTATGGGAGTCCAACGACTTTGAGAAACCAAAGGGGCTGGCTTCAAGAAAACGGAAGAAGTCGACTGCGCCAACCCCGCCTGCGTCCAGCCTTTCGCAGGCACTGCCATCAGATACTTGTACTATTCTTCTCGAAGACGAAGATAAGGAGGCAACACCACGAGCACCCGACGTCTCTTTACGACAAGTGGCTATGACACCCAGCGCTAACCGCTCTGTTAAAGACACCGACTTGGACTGGGCCAATGCCATCTCAGCTGGACGTCGCGTCGCCTGTTCCAGCCCTGTTATCCATGGCAGTGCCGAAAGCCCTATAGACCTCGAGGGTGACGTTGATGGCATGCCATCACCAAAACGGACTCTGTTCCCAGAGGCCCGTAAATCCAGTCCTGAACATCCAGTCGGCCTGCCTATGCCCAAGCGCGGGCCAGGCAAGGAAAACCAATCTCCGCCGACACCGACGGCTGCAGCGCCTCCACCCTCGACACCGACTAAACGCGTTCCCGCGATGCAGCATTTACGCACTCCTCTTCGCTCTGCGTCCAAGCAGGGCACGCCACGAACCGTGGCCCCTGAAACGCCTAGTCGCCGCCTGGTCAAATCCCCCGAACGCAGAGGACAGACGATGTCCCCTGTGGCTGGGCTGCTGGAGAAATTGCTGGCCGAGGATCCGTCAGTGCTTGCAGACATCAATGCGATCGCCAATAGCATCCCGTTCGATATCGACGACGTCGACACGGACTTTTTGAATACAGACTACACCATGCCTAGCTCGCCGCTGCCGAGCAGTCCACCCATGGGCTTTGGAATGTATAGCGAGCAGGAGTGGGAGGGGTTCTTGCCGAGCACACCGAACGGGGCTAACGGGCTCGGCGAGGAAGTGTCCGGAGCAGCAGTGCAGGGGCGGGGCATGACGGTGGATTTGAGCGCGTTCATTGAGGAACACACAACGAGTGGTGGGCTTGCGCCACCTCGGGAAGTGGCGGATGTTACGGCGGAGGAGCAAAGAGTGGAATAAGATGGCGTTTTTTTGAGGTGAGGCGTTTGTAGCGTTTTTTTTGTATTGGTTTTTTTTGGAGTTTTTATCCTTCTTGGTGGTAAGTATTCTTTATTATGTCTGGATGGAGAGGGTGGCGGTCTGTTTGGTGTTTTTTGTCCCTTTTTTGCTGGGTTTTATGTGGAGGATAGGATTGGATAGGGTATGTTATTTTTTTATTTTTTTTGGTGGGGATATTTGTCTGTAGTATTTCGTTTACGAGTAGGATAACCACATATGTACGCACGCGGCTTAGCTAGATAGGATACCAATGCGGTGGATATAGGAATACATGACTTACGTTTTAAGTATCATCTTGCTATTATTGTATGGTGGATTGGACGAAGGAGACAGCTTCACTGGTTGGTTATGTTTGGAGAATTGCAATAACGAACGCCTCCTAGATTGTGATACATATGAATGACCGAAACTCCGCATTCTATGCTCTCCTGAAATACGAGCCGGAGGGAGGGGAAGGAGGTGAGGAATGGTAAAAAGGGAAAAAAAAACAAAAATGATATTCCGTTACGGGGAATCGAACCCCGGTCTAGCCGGATTAATTGCTCTACTTGAGAGCGGCTGATGCTAGCCACTACACCATAACTGAAGCGGTTGATGAGTGGTGAAGTAGATTCACTTCTGGAGGGTAGAGCAATGGGCTACCCTTCCGTAGCATGTCGAATGCATTACCGGCGAAAAAACTTCTCACGAGGAGCTTCACAAGGGACGGCATACAAAAAGGGCCAGATACGGCCTTGTTCTTTTTCATCACGAGCACAGCAGGAAACAAAAAAAAAAAAAAAAAAAAAAAACAAATATATATATTCCGAAATAGCAAGAAAAAGAAAAAGAAAAGCAAGAAAGAAAGCAGAAAATTAAAAAAAAAAAAAAAAAGGGCAATACAGGAGACCATTGCTCATCACATATCTGGCAACGTTCACGTAACCAGACGCCTCCGACCTCAACCCAGGCCAGGTTCTTTGCGGGAAGACCGGAAAGAAAAAGCGAGAAAAGCGAGAAAAGCGAGAAAAGCGAGAAAAGCGAGAATAATTTGAGACCTATCCCACCCAGGCTATTAGTATACTTGAGTTATGCCGAAGCGGGGAGACGTACGTGGAAAAGTAGAAATTCGCATGGTATATTTCAGAAGATGGAAAGTGTAGATGGTCATGATATTGGGTTTAATGAGAGCCCTCCTCATCAGAGTCCTGTAAGCGTTGGCGGCGAGCAGGGCCTCCAGCATCAGCATTAGGGGAAGAATCTGCTAACAGCTGGCGGTAGAGTGTAGAATCGTAGCGAACAGGCTCCATCAAACGAAGCATGAGTCTGCAATGGCGCTGGTTATCCGGGCTCTCAAAGAAGTTAATAAGAGAAGCCACGTCAATGGCTTCCTGCTCGGTAGTTGTGATTTTCTTCTTGGTGAGCATCTTGCGGCCCCATGATTTAGAAAGAATATGGCGGGCCCATTCCTCCTTCTGCTTCTGTGAAAATCTGTTGTAACGCGCGAGCGGGAGTTCGCCGTTGTTAGTTGGGAAATGTAAGAAACGGTAGTGGCCATAATACACCCAGTTGTTGCGGTCGTGACAGATGAAGAGCGGATAGATTCGGTTGTGAACTGCAATTGCTTTGTCCTCACGGAAGACTGTCAAAGCGCCAGCCTCTCCAGGGCGCTTGGGGAGCCATTGATTGAGATCGCGCTTGACGCAAATGTAAAGGTGGGACGGGTGTAGTCTGTATGGATAGTTTTTACTTGAAGCGGGTTTCACCCAGGTTGCTTGCGGACTGCCGCCGATGATTTTGGACAACAAGCTTCTGGTAAAGCCTTGATGATGATTGGGAGCACCATCGTAGGCACCGGGAGGGGGAACCACATTAGAAATCACCTGCTCGATTGTGAGGTCTCCGTTGTTGCCGTTTGCGTGACCAGCAGTAGCCACGTTCGGAGCAGCAGGTTTCTGGGGCGCGTGTCTCGCCTGAGGAGCCTGTGCTGCGGGCAAAGCATTTCGGACTCGAAGAGCTAGTAACCGATTAGACGCGATACTATTTTCATCGTCGTCTTCATTTTCATCATCACCATCCGTGTTCGGTTCAGACAGCGAAAAAACCCCAGGTGTGGCGCTCCTGTTCGGGTTGTTCGCATCATGTTCGCGCGGTGACAGACGCTCTGGAGTGACTGTAGCTGACATGTTCACAGCCGGACAGATCGGACTCTCCTCAACGTCGGCACAGCTGTTCCTCGGCGACATTTCACCACTGCTTGAACGCCTCCTGCGCCTCCTGATCCCTCTGCCCAATCCGCCAATTGACGGCCTGGCGCTCGGTTGGGGGGCCAGCTCGCGAAGCATCCGCTGGAAGAGCTGGTTTTGCCTGTCCTCCGCAGCGACAAGCAGACGTCTCTGATGTTCGACATCCTGTCTCGCTTCTTCGAGTCGGCGCTGCCACTCTTCGATCATGGGATTATTAGAGGGTTCAGAGCGCTCGGGCTCGATGGACTCGACGGGCACTTCTTCTATCTTGATGTGCTCTTCTTCTTCTTCCATCTTGATGTCGACCATTTCGAGGTCACTGTCATCAGATGGCTCGATGGCGTTGATTGGGGGGGGCATGGATGCTGTCTGTGATAGCGAACACAGTAAGCTGGGTTGGAGGGTTCGCTTGATATTGTTCCCGACTTGCTTTTGGGATGCGAGACGGGAGCTGTGGGTAGCGCGCGAAGCCGTGGTGTTAGGGTTGTGAATCGTTGGTTAGCGAGGGGGTTGAGGGGGTTAGGGTTTGTTGGTTGCTTGTCGCGGTTAGGGTTTTGTCGAGAATCGCGGGGTAGAATGATGCTGATGGAGGGGATGCTGACGGCCGCCGCCGCCCCTCACCCTTTCCTAGCTTCACTGCACAGCACTCAGTCGTCCCCTTCACCAACCAATTTCTTTTGGACAGCCACAGAACCCAGCTATAATGGTCGGACGTCACCACAAGCCTGAGGACCTGACCGTTCCTCATGTCCACGAGATCGTGCGCGCATCTCATGCCAAGATTGAGCATGACCGAGTCAAGGTACGACGTCATCGCAGCGATGCAAATGGTGGCAAAGCTCTGAAAGTTGTATTGTAGCTTTTCCTCTGCTCCGGCGAGACTGCCGAGATCCTTCTTTACGGGGCGACCATCATCTCCTGGAAAGCTGGCGGCGAGGAGCGCTTGTTCCTGAGTGAGAAGGCAGCTCTTGGTAGATTACCGCACCCCCCCCCGCAGCGGAGTTACTTCTAACGCTAACACCACTGCTAGACGGTTCTAAAGCTGGTATAATATCTCCTCGCCCGGTTTTGCGAGCTCTAACAGTTTCTAGTCCGCGGCGGTGTTCCCCTAGTCTTCCCCGTAAGCTTAACCCTCACTACCTTGGAAGCTGTCCCTAATTTTCCTAGGTCTTCGGCAAATCCAGCAACCACCCTACCGACAAGCTACCCCAGCATGGCTTTGCACGCACCTCCAGGTGGGAGATCCTAGACACCGCTACCGAGTCTGAGGAGTTTATCAACGTCGATTTTGGTCTCGGCCCCGAAAACCTCACGGTCGACACTCGCAAACAGTGGCCCTTCGACTTTGGCTTGATCTACTCAGTTACTCTCACCAAGACTTCACTGCAAACTAAGTTGTTGGTGAGAAACGAGGGACAGGAGCCGTGGGAGTTCAATGCACTATTCCACACGTACCTGAGAGTTCCGGATGTCACTAAGGTTGCTGTGACTGGCTTGAAGGGAGTCACGTACCGGGACAAAGTGCAAGGGGGGGCGGAGGCTACCGAGGAGAGTGACAAGCTTACCATCGCCTCTGAGGTTGACCGCGTTTACGTCAAGGTCCCTGGGACAGTAAAAGTGGAGGACATCGAGGTCGGGAAGACGCTGTACACGGTTGAGAGGTCGAACCTCGACGACGTAGTAGTGTGGAACCCGTGGGAGAAGGCCAAGACAATCGCAGATTTTGGACCAGAGGATGGCTACAAGAACATGCGTAAGTTGAAATACGTCCGGATGAAGGTGAAGTTTGCTGACAAGTCTACACAGTTTGCGTCGAGGCCGGCAGCGTGTCGTCATGGCAGCCAATGGAGGTTGGGAGTTTCTGGGAGGGAGGCGTCACGATCAGCATCTGACTCGCTGGATCTCAGTTTGAGCCTGAGCTTTTGACCCACGGGAGACGAGTCAAGTTATGAACTTATGATAATTTACTGCTGGGAAATTAGGCGGTCCGGTCTCAACCGCATTAACCGAGCGCTTCCATACTACTGACTTGAGAAAAATCAAGGCATAGTTCTCGAGAACTGTAGAAAATGTGATGGTTCAAAAATAAACTATGAATCACAATGTGTCACCCAATATTCTATTTCCTAGCACTGTAGCGCAACCCTGCGAAATCTTGGCGCAGATTTAGAAACCACCATCCAGAAAGTTAATCCAACCACCTAACCACCAACCCGCACCTTCAACATGGCTGACATAGAGGTCCGTCGCCGCCCCGACATACATGCAAACCCCGCTGACATTCCACACCTAGGAGCGCTTAAAATCTCACTCATCAGCCTTCGAGGGCTTGCTCTCGTTAATTCCGGGCGACAAATACTTTCCCAGCGACAACAGTGTCAGTGCACCTTCTCACTTACGGTAGTGGAGTGCGGCTGACGCGAAACAGAACCAATGGACCAAGCGCAAGCAGAGCAAAGAAGAGCACAAGCGGGCGAAGAAAGCAAAGCTGGATCCCGACAGCGCGACGACCGCGGCCGAGATGCGAGAGAAGAAACGGCACCGCAGCGTAGCATCCGACGATAACGAGAGCGGTGAGGGGGACAATGACGAAGATGCGGTGGCGGAAGACATACCCGTCAAGGAGCAACAACCCGTAACCAAAAAGTCCATGAAAGCGAAGGCTACGCCTACGCAGAAAAAGAAGGCCGAATTGTCGGAGGCTATCAAAACGCCTACGCAGCAGAAAAAGGGAAAAGGAAGAACCTCAGACGAGGCCGTCGCTCCGCCGTCTGAGGTGCTTTCCATCGTACCAGCGACTGAAGCCGCCGCCGACAATGATGAAGAAATGGCCGACGCCAACGATGAGGAGACGATCCAGGTCAACGGCTTTGCGGATATTGAGACACCAGTCCCCGCCACCCCCGCCCTGAAACCTTCGAAACCTCAGCTTGATCCCGCACAGCGTGCGGAACAACGTGCTCGCCTTGCAGCGAGGATAGAAGCTCTGCGCGCTAAGCGGAAAGCCGATAATGCGGATGGTACTTCGGCGCGTACACGACAAGACTTGTTGGAGGCGCGGCGCAATAAGGATCTGCAGCGGAAAGAGCGAAAGAAGCAGTTGCGCTTAGCTGCAAAAATGGCTGGCGAGGAGACTGCCGAGACGCTACCCACTGGTGTCGAGCCCGCAACCCCCGCCACTGTTAAGAAGCCCGCATCTACTGTGGTCAAAGACTTCTCGTTCGGAGTGGTCACTTTCGACGATGGACGAAAGCTTGATGCCAAGCTGCAGGATTTCCAGAAGGAAAAGAAACGCAAAGGACCGACGGATTTGCTAGGTCAGATCAAGCACAATGAGGCCAAGAAGAGAAGATTAGAAAAC